AAAAATGACCAGACTAAAACATTCCCAAATAATCATTCCCTAAAAGAGAGATTTATGCTAAATCCATAAACCACCAAAATTGGTTTTGTAAAATGCAGCCTCCAAATTATGAATGCCTTGCTAATGCTGAGTATGTCACATAAATGGGGGGCCACCATATACTGTGTTAGCAGGGGCTGTGCTGAGGAGCATTTTCACCAGGCAGAGGAGGGTGGGAAGAGCTCTGATCCACTGGGATCTTACCTCAGGATGCTGCTCACAGAAGACTGGACACATTCCAGCATGTGGCTGCTCTCTCCCAGTAGTTTCCCCTGTCTCCCTTGAAAAACGTATCTGCTACAATTCTTTCAAAGCTGTTAAATTAAGGCAATATTTTCAGGGGCATCTGACCACACAAGTTGACACCTCACTCAGCTGGAACACATCACAGCATTTAAAGCAGAGATTAAATAACCCATTCTGGGCAAGACAGTGGAGAATTTACAGTTTCCGTGCACAAGATAATTTCTATATGTCAATTTCCTAAATTTCTACATATTGCTTTTCCACTCTGAAGAAGACAATTAAATTTACTACAAAGTAAATTTACTACAGAGTCCTAATTTTTTAGGTAGATTTCATTTTTACAGGAATATATTAGGACCCTCAGAGCTAAGAACATCTCTTTATTTCAGAGAACTGAGAAAATTTTGTTTCAATTATAGCTTCAACTTTTTTTAATGTAAAAGTAAAATATCAGCCAAAGTATTTAAACAAACATAGAACTTCAGTATCTGCATTGAATGGTTACTGCTATTCTTTCCACTTTTTTTTCTATACTGCTGGATTTGACATTGAAACTTTTAAAGTTTAAGATGTGCTTTCTGTCAATAAAGTCTTTTAAAGCTGTAAGGCCCTTAAGGAAGTAGTTCGCTGTGTCTGTATAATGTTTTGCACACTGGGGCACTGATCTGCTGGAACAAATCAGAATTATCCAATAACTTCTGCCTACAACCTGTTTCAGTCACAGCAGAGGCTTCTGAAAATGCTCTGTAGCTGAAGTCAATATCAGTCCCTTACAACTTCCACAGGAGCAGCCCAGCGCAAAGGTCTGTCACAAGTCCCATAGCCCGTGTGGTAGCTAAGTTTGGAAGTCTTCTAGATTCTTTTCTCCATATCCAAACCTGTATGAAATGTAAATTATTTTCTTCCTGAGTAATCAGGAGGAACAGGAACTCATATGATTATAGCTTGCAGATTAATATTCAACTTCTACATCAGAACATTAATAAAAGGCCACCAAGAACCACGACATAAGCAGAACTTGCACTAGATCAGCAGGGAATACAGCAGGGAACAAAAATAGGAGTTGATTATGTCAAGAACAATTGATTTGAGCTTGAAAAAAAGCACAAACAGCAACAAAACTGCTTAGAGAAAAACTAGCTGTTCTCACCTAGATTCTTAACTGTATGTAAAATATGTTGCCCTGGCAGACTAAAATCTAAGCATCTGAACTCTCTAAGAACTGAACATTATTAAGCTAAAGAATACCTCTTTTTCCAAAGTGGTAACAAGTTAGTTCTCTTCTCAATAATGTAATAAATAAAATACACAAACTATCTATAGTCTATCAAACTATTTCTTCATTTCATTTAAAATGCTGCAGTCCAAGGCCAGCAGTGTGTTTAATACAGCAAGACTGATTCTGAAATCAGTCACATTAATTCATCTTTCTACTCTCAGTAATACAATTCAGAAATTGTGGTTTTCCCCCGGGAATTGCATCTTATTTTAGATTCTCTCTCTTTTCTAGTAAGCAGGATATCTCTTGAACAGTAGAAAAAGCCTATTGTTCTCATTTTAAATTATTGGTATTGATTAGGAGCTTTGCCTGAATAATAAGTACAAGAATTATATATTATATATTAATATTATATATTTTCCATTAACTTTTCTGCACTGAACAGGACTTCACTGAAGTAGATAAGTTACCTCAAGTGTTCAGATAAAAAAGGTATCTATTGAAACACTGTAAGCTTAGCAAAAAAATACAAAACCTTGTTCAAAATTCAACACACCAGGCAAAAGCACTGATTTATTATGCTACCCTAAAAATCTGTAGTGCAGAAATCAACACAGAGGATCAGCCTCAAAACGAGTGTGAACTGAAATATGATAAATAAAATATTTCCATAGTGTCTCTTATCATGAGAATTTTACGTTTACACAGTATAATTCGAATGCTCCATATGAACAAGCTCTTCCATGAATGGTGAAACCAATAAACTGCTGTTTCCTGCAGATTTCTATTATATTTCCCTTAAAGCTTTCTCTCCCAAGACTCCAAGTTACCCAGTTTTGGATTGCTTTCCATGATCACTGCACTCCTGCCAGGGAAGGGAGCTTTCAGCACACGGGCTCCTGAGCCCACATTAACCCACTGATGGCTTTTTGCACTGATGGCAGCACCCTCGCTCATCTGCTGCCCTTGCTCATTATTCTGCAGACTCATTAAGAG